CATATTAGCATATATTCGTTTCTTGTCTTTCCTTAAAAATCACGCAACTGCCTTTATGTTCCGCTTTCAAGATTTTGTTGGTGGAGATTTGATTAAAAGAATGTTTGTAAACTTTTTGATTTTGATTTCCTACTTGAGGTGGATCAAGAAAAACTGGCGGTTAGCGCAGAGCTTGCTCTGCTTCATACATTATTTTTGCTACTCTCGCATCAACCTGCTAGAATGCGGCCAATAATTTGCTTTAGACAGAGATCCAAGTTAAAGTCATCTCCAAACTGGCACCAAAGATTCGTTACATTGAAAACAGATAATCGACAAGTCAAGCAGTGTATACATATTTTTGGGACCGGTATAACAGTGAGCAAAAATGAACTGTATTGTAAAAACGGCTAACGAATAGGCACGATCGCATCGTATACCATACATGATGAATTAATTCTTGGTCTTGGAAGAGTTGTTCCTTTCCAGTTGTCCATATCAAGAGGGAACACCTAAGCGAGATTTGTACTTTACTCTATTGACTGCGAGTTTCACTCACTATCCTCTGCACTAAGGATGACATGTTCGACATGCACTTTAGATGTTGGACCCTGCGGAAGTACTAGCAGGCCAAAGTGCTGCGAAATCGCTGCGCAACTTTTTGTGAAAAGTCATGGAAGTTTTCATTTTCGCGGTTTCCACTTTTGTAATAGTAAACAAAGTCCTACGGAACCGCAGCAAACTTGGCTTGTCCTGCGAAAAGTTCCGGTGAATTATCTGAGTTTTTGATGTACCGCATTCTGCTGTACAAAACAAATTCCCTTCTTTAGGTGAAATCGAGCAGATTGTTTGTGTAGGCAGAGCTGATGATGTTTCTTTCACCGAGTATAATCCGGAGCAAAAAATCTTGAATAAAAAATGTTGAGAAATTTGGGAAAGTTTACCAAAAAAAGTTCAAATGGAAGAGTAGGACCTGAATAAGAGAAACAGTGAAAGATTTTAGTGCGATACAGTTAAATATATGCAATTATTATGCACTTTTGTAATTCTACAGACTCTCGACCAACGTTTGAATCCCATCTGACATCTTCCTTCGCTTAGCAGACACTTACGCAATTTGAAATCTTAATTGACTTGCTCACTGTTTTGAAAATGTGTTGTCACGCCGTCACACTATTCTTACATTCGTCAGTTGTTGTTTGAAAAGAATTGAAAGATAAGTTTTGTACAAGAGAAAATTTGCAAGCTCCCACAACAAATCCAAATCCCGTTTATATAATAATGGGCCTTCAAAATTTTTGCCGTTTTTAATCCATCAAGACTTACAGAACACAGACCGATGAACTGATTAAGAAAGTTATCCCTCTTTGACATTTGCAATCTTTGCAGTGATATCGCCATGGTTCTATAAGCAAGTCCAACAATTACGGCGAATCTTTTTTTAAATTTTACCTTGAAATTTTCGAAAAGTGTTGTAATCGTTGTGTAGGGTAAGACTTTGTCTACATTATACTTCTTCTAGATACAAGCCAAAATTCTAAAGTAATAATGTTTCTATTTTGGAATACCCCGGTTTCCGGAGCAGTTTAGCACATAGGAGTTTCGAAAATTCCGAAAAGCTGATTCTTCAAAGCAAATTAAACTTGATTATTCTGCATAAATGAAGTAACAATTAAGCTTACGAGGAAAACGCGTTTAGTCAGATGGCTTTTTCAAATGGGACCCATACTGCTTTGGAGAGTATTGCACAGTGATTCCAAATCTGCCTCCGCTATCGCCAAGCGCTTCTGGACGCCGAGGTATGGGCGTTTTTTGGGTCAAAAAATTGAACGCAGAACAGGAACAAAATCGCACAGGTTTGCTCAAATGGTCCGGTGTTGAGTATCAGAGCTGTTCGTGCAACGAATACATTTTGTCTAATACGCTTTTACTTAACACTGTTTTATCTAAGCGCAGGGAAGTTTGTAACTATTAATTTTACCTAAAATTTGCATTCATTTTTTGTCCAAAAAACGGTCCTAACTCGACGACCAGAGGCGTTTGGCAGATAATGAAAGCAGACTTGGAGCCATCGTGCGATACTCTCCAAAGCAGTATGGGTCTCATCCGAAAAGGCCAGTTCAACTAAAACGCTTTCTTTGTTAGACTCGCAAAACCTCGAAAGATTTCACGTTTTTGATGCAGTTTTGTGTTTCGTAACTTTACCAGAAATCATGGTTTTCGAAGAGGTAGTTTTTAGAGGTCTATACAGCAGCAGAAAAGATTATCACCAAACGCCCACAATACATCAAATCTGGAGGCTTTAAAACACGCTTGTCACTATTGAATTAAGGGCCAAGTAAACTACAGCTCAAAGAAAAAGTTTTAAAATTTTCTGCTTTACACCTGTAGAATTGCGAAAACACGATGACTTGTCTGCGAACCTTGCAAGTATTGAAATAGGAAGAGGGTGTCAGAAAGAGGTACAAGAGTTACTTAAAAGGTACCTGAATGACTAATCTATTCATGTTCATGTTTTACAAGATTTGAATGAGTCGATTATGAATTTGACACACCATAAGTTGATGCGTAAAAAATTTGAATGGTCAATATAGACGCGAAAAGAAAAACTATTGATTGCAAAAAATGTCTGATCTTTGAAAATGTAAAAGTGCAAAGTAGCTAAAAAGGCAAAACGATGACTTGGAAATTTATTACCTTAACCACTCGTCCAAAGATTTATTTCAATATATAGTTGTTGGTGAGAGGAAGAATTTTGCGTTAAATATTTAAAGGCAGTGTCACACCAGAGTGGGGTATCTGGCTCTCGTAATAATATAATAGTAGACTTCCTACCTAAGCGATAACTGAAGTTTGGGCGAAAAAGGGAGTCTACCAAGCCTGAAATTTGCTCTGAAAGTGGCCCGAATCTTACGGTAGGCCCAAATGCCGCCTACACAGCGATTTCGAGCTGAAAGGCCAGAGCACTCATAGCGCACACAGTCAAGAGCGCAGGGACCCTCAATGACTCTGCGTCTCTATCTTGCATCCACCTCGTACTCGCCCGAGCCTACCGTAAGATTCGGGCCACTTTCGGAGCAAATTTCAGGCTTGGTAGACCCCCTTTTTCGCTCCGGACTTCGGTCATCGCTTAGGTAAGGATCTACTATTACATTATTACGAGAGGCGGATACCCACAGTGTGGTGGGACACTGCCTTTAGGTGTTTTTTATGCTTGATCCAAGGGTATGGAAATGATTCAAAAAGCTCTACAAACTTCTTTATCACATGCATTGGGTAATAATTGTGCAGAAAGCATTTATCTAACAAGGAAAGGATACCTAGTCGAAAGCACCACTTCAAAGTAAGCATATATCATCTTGAGGCGCTTGAAACGCTGATTCCAAATCTATAGTTATTAGCTGCGGAGCGGTTTTGTAGAAGGAGGTATGAGGGGTGTCCTCCTCTGAGGTTAAGGCGCCTCCAGCAGGTCTCCCCTTATCTATCAGCACTGTAGAGGAGTACCAACTGGTGGCAACTGGCCTAGTGGTAAGTAATTTGAATGAAGATTACAATAAGGATTATAATACTCGTGTCACTTTGGGTTTTTTTCAATACTTTTAACTTTGATTAGCGTCAATATTATTTAAGGGCTCTAAAGCCATTAAGAAGCTTGATTTTGCAAAAATTGCGAGAAAGTAGCATACGAAGAAATTAAAACCCTGACCCTCTTCTTATCAAGCAAGTCACTTACCACTAGGCCAATTGCCACTAGTTGGTAATCTTCCACAGTGCTCATAAATAGGGGGAGACCTGCTGAGGGGCGCCTCAACCGCAGAGGGAGATACCCGCATAACTCTTTCTACAGAGTTGCTCCGCTACGAAAAACTACAGATTTAGAACCAGCGTTTAAAGCGCTATAAGATGGTACATGTCTCATCTGGATTGGTGCTTTCGACTAAGTATCCTCTCCTTGTAAGATGAAGAGCGCTCTCATTATTTGAGGGGTTAAGATCTCATCAAAATTGAAAGGAAAATTAGTCAGAAATAGCCAACATCAACAAACAAATTCGCGCAGTTCACAAATTACGGATCTTGCATTAACCTACAAGAATATGGTTCAAAAATGAAAGAAATGAGAGCTTTAGCCAGTTGTTAGAAGCTATGATCTTGGTATACTTGATAAATAGGGAAGAACCAGAAGTTCCAAATTCTATCAGTCTGCTTGTTTTGTAAAGGCTGTATTTATGCGTTTTAATTGGAGTAATCCTAATACAGAGTTAATTTTGTATGCCATCCAATAAAATGAATTCTGACGTAAGATTACTTATTGGTTTAGTGTATCTATCACTCCAATCCGGCAGTAGTCTAACGAAAATTTCTGGACTTATCAGATAAAATTAGTTAAATTCAGCTTTTACAGCAAGCAGACTGCTAGAATCTGGAGCTACTGGTTCCTTCCCTATTCACCGATTATATGATCATATATTTGAGAGAACACAACTTCGACACATTGAATTTAGCTTTTTTTCCTACTGAGATGACCAGCTTGAATTCTAGCAAACTAGGCCATCATGTACATCCCACACAGTTTTTCAGATATTTTCAGGTAGCATCTTTTCCTACTGAAAAAGCTCATCAAGTGATTAAACAAAGCAAATTTGAGCCTCTTTCTCTCTCGAAAGCGTAGCTACAGCTCTATGCGAGGAGCCTAAAGTCATAGGGCGGGTCTACCACTTTTTAACTACCTCGTTTCACTATATAAGCGAGATTTTCCACAGCCTGAGCAAACATGTATATAAGTGTGTGCTCGCTATATATTGCAGCATTTGGAATTTCCAATGCATACGGAAGGTGGAATTCTGAGCTCGGTAAAAACCCCTTCTCAAAATTTTGGTCTCTTTTTTGTAACAAAGTCATGCTCGCGCTCAATGTGATCTTATAGAGTTTGCTTTTCTTTACTCAACGTTGTGCTTGTACGAATGCCCCAATTTTCACTCTCATCAAAGCAAAAACTTTGTGTAAGTGCAACGGCTAGAAAATTTAGCCAGATACACGATTTAATACACGCAATTTCATAATCACATTTTGTTCAGATGATCAACAATGCTCAGACAATCTATACTTTTGGGACAAACTGTATAACAGTGAATAGAGAGGCAATATTTACTGTGAAAAATTAATTTATGATGGATCAGTCGTTGACGGAGGTTCAGCGACCATACATGCGATCTGAAATCTCATTCATATTTGTATAGGGGCCTGCAGGATCGCGAGAGTCGGACGTGCGTACGGCCATTGCGCCGCGCACGGCGTATGTCACTGGGTCGTATTCGATTTAGGCTGGATAGGTGAGATTTTTTGTTTTTCTTCTCATTTCTCGCCTTCTTTTCTTTTCAGGCGGCGAACATATGTTGGTGCAGAGGAGTTTAAGATCTAGATTAAGGTGAGGTGCAGGATTATGCTCAATACGGGCCAATATTGTGGACTTTTCACCCCTGCTTTGAAGAATGTTGAGTTTTCTGTTCTGGCTGTCCGATTATGTTCGATTTTTCGTCCTGCCTGCCCGGTTACGAAACTCCGTTTTATTTGCAACGTCTGTTCTACCTCATCTTGCATCATGCGCGTCATCACAATCATAATCATTGTCAATCATCATCATCATCATCATCATCATCATCTCACAAGCAATATACAAGATAAGGTAGAATAGACGGTAGAAATAGAACAGTTTGCTGTAACAAGGCAGCCAGGACAGAAAATCCAACATCTCAACCAGCAGGCATGGAAGGTCTGCAATATTGAGTCCGTATTGAGCATAATCCTGCACCTCACCTTAATTCAGATCTTAAACTCCTCCACACCAACATGTGCCACCGTCTGAAAAGAAAAGAAGGCGTGAAATGTGAAGAAAAACAAAAAAACTTACCTATCTAGCCTTAATCGACTACGACCCAGCGATATCAGGCGTGCGCGGCGCAAAGGCCGTACGCGCGTCCGACTCTCGCGATCCTGCAGGCCCCTATAACCTGTGTGCCGCCCAATAGAAGATCACAGGCTGTTTGTTTGTGGCGTTAACGTCTTTTTAAATCAAAGCTTGTTTTATTCGAGGTGGCCTTTCCAAATGAAACGTTTACCTTATCAAAGGGCATAAAACGCTGTTTCGTAACCTGTCTTCATTACCAATGGAGCGTTTTTGAACGAGGATTTATGATCGTTTTTTGGAGTTAAAAATTGAATCTGCACTCAGGATAAAATGAGTTGCTAAAATTTTCACTAGCACTCAAATAAAGTAACCAAGTGTGTTATATTTTTATTGTAGAGCATTTTAAGAAAGAAAAGTGCTCTGATGATTATCTCTGCTCCATTGAAGAGTTAGAAAAAGTATCACGGCTATTTTTGTCCTACCTGCAAATTAATTTTTGCTCCAATAAGCGCTCATGACTCCTCTTTCCATGAAAGTTCTGCAAATAAGAAAGACAAATTTGGAATTAGCATTTTATGCCCTTCAGTATGGTGTACGTCCCATCCAAAAAGGCCACTTCGACCAAACATGTCCAACATTCCTTCTTAGAATTTTATATTCACCGATCGATAACATTATTTTTAGAAATTTCACGTTACATTTTTCTTTTCCAAAGAATTTTTCAAATACAAAAAAGTTTACATCCTCCGTGTGAGTGCCCGTATCCGTAGCGTCTACCATAGCCACCATAGCCACCATAGCCACCATAGCCTCCACCATAACCACCAAAGCCTCCACCATACATTCCACCTAAATAGTGGCCTAGAGCAATAGCCAATGATACTTTTAGATTACAATAAGCCCACCTCCGAACATATGGCTTTTAACGCTTATAATGAACATAAGAACAACTACGAAGTACTCGAACATTGCGATCGTAATGCTTGAAGAACTGAAAAAGTCAGCAAGTGAATGCCACAGATGCAATTGCAAAAAGAGCCTTTTGGAAAAGTTTTTGAGGTGGCCTTTGTACAACAGAGAAGTTGGCAGCTGATATATAAATGATGTAAAAAGAATAATTCATCATTAGCTTATAAACTGAGCACTATTTGTTTAGGCACTTGGAGCTTTTTCGATATATTCCTCTGTTTAACAACTAAAAAGCAAACGATTGTTCAATAAGAACCCGAAATTGAATTGTTGTATAAGAAGAAGAAGGAAGAGTGCACGGCCACAGAAAGTGGAACACTGTTACAAGGGCAATACCATATAGGAGTTGATATATGCAATCATTATGCCCTCTTGTAATTCTGCAACACATAACTCAACATTTGAAACCCATTTATCAATTCTTCCGTCGCTTAGCAAAACATTAGAGTTTTGAAATCTAAGTCGCAATCAGAGTTGAGCAAGGAATCAGTCACAAGTCTTCCGAAAAGACTCTCCAACTTCTTCCCATTTGAGCCCTCAAACAATTTCTTCCTCCTCTTGACCTCCGGAACCTCAAAATGTAATATTCTAGAGGACATATTCTTTTCTAAAGAGTTTTCAGATTTTTGAGAACTGCACCCCCGATTTTTTGTGACTGCATTTCACTCTAATTTGACGGCTGATTTTGATCTGAATGGGCCTATTGAAATGACCATCATCTTTTTAGGGGTGGAGCATTCGGCTTCAAATTTTCCTTGTAGCAAGAAGAAGCTATGTGCTCAATAATCATACCAGGAATGAAGCGATTTCTGGATTTTGAAAGCGAGTTAAGAGGGTCAGGCGCATCCCCTCGAAAGCTCAGGCAGCCTGACCTTTTTAGGCTATCGCCTGACCCGACTAATTTTATCACCGACACCGAAGAAGCTTTTCTACCCTAGATTTATGTGATTCGCTAGCACAAACTTCGAAGATTCTCAAGTAGGTGTTCGAACTTACCTTGACTTGTTCCAAAATAACATCCCCGCCGGAGAGGGGATGGCAGCTTGAGAAAATCTATCGGTAAGTATTCCCACTTCCTTCACTATGATCATATCGAACAAGAGTGAGAAGCTGTACAAGCCGCATTTTCAGCTTTTTATGTGATCCCCTGATGATCCAGGCGAGCGATGTCTTTTCTTTGAAGCATTCTTCTTTTTTCGAAGTCAATGAAAACATCCCAAAGCTGTACTGATCATCTAACCCAACAGTGCTAAGCATTGCCGTCAAAGGCAGCGTTCAGGCAAGTCTGGACACATGGAGATCTCACCGAAAACTACGAAAAAGGGCTCTAACACTGGAGGGAAATCAGCAAGTGGGCGGGGTCTTCCCCACTGTGAATTCACGCTTCCAGCTTCCAGAGCAATTTTCTCGAATCCGTTAGTCGCCCTGACTCACACCAATCAAGTGCAAACGAATGGTTTGAAACCGCAATCAAAAAGATCGCTCCCGAAGCTGGGAGCGTGAATTTACAATGGGGAAGACCCTGCCCACTTGATAATTTCCCTCCAGTGTTAGAGCCCTTTTTCGTCGTTTTCGCGCTTTCCAATGTGGATTTTCGGATTTAGCATAGCGAATAGGCCCAGGTAAGCACAAAATCTTAAAATCGAGTCTGCCCGGACACTGCCTTTAAGAACAAATGATGTTTTGGAGTATGAAATTTTCGATGAACCACAAGTCGAATGTCGGAGTTTATCGAAACTCTTGATATTTCAAACAATATTCTGGCATCAATTAGGTTAGCAAATTAAGTCGAAAACTCGGCAGCATATCGTTGTATGATTGTGCATAATACTTGCTCCCCTTTTATATAAGCCCATCCTAATAAAGCATAAAGGTCTTAGTGCTTAAGGCAAGCTATAGTAGGGTTACAGTCACGTCAATTCTATTTCGCACCTCACATTAGGTCATATACTGAATTCAACCCTCCTGCCTTGAGGATTTTATGGTATATTTTGATGACCCTCACTATTTAACTGACCATTTCAAAGATCCAACGAGGGAGCAAGGCATAAATGAAAAGAGGGTAATAGAAGGAACTAACTGATGAATGAGGAAGAGATACAGTGCTGGACATAATTATAAAGCCACTCTTGGTGCAAAAGTTCTGTCAGTTTTTTCAATCCATTGGCGAGCATGCTAGAATGAAGGTAAACAAATGCTTCAAAATGTATCCAATGCAGAATTTCTCTCTGTTTCCAGCTGCTGAACTCCCGTTGTGTTTTGTTGAGAGAGTGACGAGATATTTGCCGGAAATTACAACGACTCGTTTTTACCATGTCCAACTTTCACTGAATTTCAAAATTTTTGTATGAGATTTCCGGAGGAGTTTTATAACCTCCAGATAGGGCAAACCTTTTGCCAACAGAAGCAATCTTTTTCTTTTTTAGCTGCTTTTCCAAGATTTTGCTAAGTAATTTTCTGAAAATCTTGTGTTTTGGAAAACTCGCGTAACCTTTCATTGTACCAAACACTGCAAAACCTACAGAATGCTGAGCGACACACGATTATTACTACCGCTACCATTACAAAGTAAATGAGCGATTTTGTTTTAAATTATGAAGATTTTGAAACTTAGGTTACGTCAGTGCGCACTCATGAAATTGAGAAATACTGCGATTTTTCCCATAAATTTCGTAGAAATTCTGAAAGACAAGGCGTAGGGCTACAAAAAATTGCTTCTGTTGGCAAAAGATTTGCCCTATCTGGAAATTATAGGGCTCCTCCAAAAATCTCATACAAAAATTTTGAAATTCAGTGAAAGTTGGACATGGTAAAAACGAGTCGTTGTAATTTCCGGCAAATATCTCGTCACTCTCTCAACAAAACACAACGGGAGTTCAGCAGCTGGAAACAGAGAGAAATTCTGCATTGGATACATTTTGAAGCATTTGTTTACCTTCATTCTAGCGTGATTGCCAATGGATTGAAAAAACTGACAGAACTTTTGCACCGAGAGTGACTTTATAATTATGTCCAGCACTGTATCACTATGTCAAAAATGCTCCCAAGCTTTCTGGCATATCACGGATAGGTTCATGTTCTCATTTGACATGACTACCACCGTAGATCGGCGACTCGGTGGGCTCTTGGCACCTGGATGTAACCCGAGGCCTGATGCTCGCCTGATGCTAAGCGACGTACCTATCCGACTGCGCTCCTAACGCGCGACCAAAGGAAACATGAGACTAATTGGATAATTTATCCTTGTGGCAACACACTACAGTAAAATATCCAAAAAAGAATACTAAACTAAAAACAAGTTACTACTACTATTAAATAAAACACGTGACAAGAACCCGTCTACCGATGCGCGTTTGCGGAGGTAATCTAAAATAAATGTGGCTTCCGAGGTTTCGCGCAACAAATCCACCGCGCAACGCCAAGATTGTAGACGACGGCACGTCCCCTCCTCTCCTGTAGACGACTTCCAGCTTGACATGCAATTTCGGTTGATACTGACGGGTCGAAATCCGCTAACAAAGGGGGTCCGTTTCCCAGTCCAAAGAACATCCGGCCCAACTGCTCTTACAAAAAAGAACAGGAGCAAAGCGGCTGAAACGTAGTTTGAACAAGATATGAAATCAATCAATAAAAACGAAGACGAACAAGGCACCCAACTGAGGCCCGGCGCTATATATAGCCGTCTGGCTGGCAACGAGCCAATAAAGGAGAGGTCCCGAGCGATCGTGACAACACGCGTTTCGGCTACCGTAATCGCCGGATAGCGCGGTAACCGATGCCCTCGGCCTCCGTGCTTTGAGGAGCGCTTTGCATCGCAAGACGCGACAATCTGCTAGATGTATGACTTGGTAAATCAAACATCATAATATTAAGTCAAACAATCTGATCAAAATGAAAGTGAATAGTAATGTAAATCTTAGAGAATATTGTAGCAGTAGGTTGAAAATACACTAGTCCAGAATACTATTAAAATGTTTAGCGAATACTAGGATGAATACTAAGTTAGAATAATAGGGAATACTAGAATATCAGCACAAAATAAATAGGATTCGCCTTCGTAAAAAATTTATCATGTATCTTGGACTAATGCGAAGTATAAGGGTACGGTATCTACGAGAAACTCGTCCGCCGCTAATGCCAGTTCATGACCCCGCGCTTGGCGTCAGCTATCGTTATTCTTGCAGCATATACCCATTATGCTCGGGTGTCAGTGTGACAGCTCTTCATAAGACAGGCACACAAAGAAAAACAAAGATATTTAGGGCAGCGAGATATGACACGTCTATTCTCAGCTCTCCCCGCCCCCGGTGGTGATGTACGTATTGGTTCTAAAGCGTTTTGCTTACCCGGTGTCTGTCAATCAGCTGTTCGTTTAGAGTCCAAAGTTTAGTGCCGATTAGGTCTTATGGGCTCCATTTGTGTGCAATTCTTTTAACGTTTGTGCGAGCAAAACACGTATGCCTGGTAGTTTACATAGGATGCGGGGCAGGAGGGACCAAAGGGCTGCCGCCTGTAACCTTAGGAGATGATTACGAACACGAGCGCTGTGGAGGAGATTTTGGCGAGGATCCAGGAAATCTTGGCGAGGACATCCATTAGAAACAAAACCTTATAACTCTTCTTGGAATTAAATTCAGAGGATAAGAAGAACAGAATTGGAATTAGTATTAAAATGCGCATTTTTCAGTAATTCGCCTACCGAATAAGCAACTCTGTCTTTCTACTCGAGTCCTATGACAAAACTGAGCCTTCAAGTTGTGTTATAGATTTGAGTGAATTTTTTAGTAAAATTTCTGGATTCGAAGTTGATAGGGAATGGTAATCAGGAAATAATATCAACCAAGTTGCATGCAATGAACTTTTGTAACTATGTACAACCTCGCCAGGATTATCGACATGGCGAATCCCATGAAATCTCTAGTGCCAAAATTTCAAACTAGAATAGGTTTGAAGTTATGAAACAAACTGCATATTGCATCTTAACACAAAGCCTCCCAAAGTGTTTTTATGGCATTTTGATTGCCTTTGT